CCCCCCCCCCCCCTACACATCCCTGCACAAACTAACCCGAGAATAAATATCTCTTTATATTAGCTGAGTCACAAAGTAACCCGAGAAAAAAAGTCCCTATACATTTGCTGAATCACAAACTAACCCGAGTTTAAATATAGCTATACATTAGCTGAGTCACAAACTAAACCGAGTTTAAATATCTATATATTAGCTAGGTCACAAACTAACCAGAGTTTAAATGTCCCTATAAATTAGCTGAGTCACAAACTAACCCGAGGATTAATAGAATCTTCCCCTACCTTGAAGGGACAGAGAAATATCCAACCCGATGGTTGAGTTTTTTTGGTTGTCTAACCCGAGACTCTGCCAACCAAAATATCACCCCGAGGGTTGAAGATTTCTCTGTTACATCCTCAATGTATCATAGGGGATGGTTATTTTTCTGACATCCTATTATTTCAGTCACAACTCCACCTACAGTAGTCGGGCATGTTTGTCACCAAAAACACATGTTGGGTATGAATATCGTCATTCACTTTTGATGACGTCACAATTACCGGTGACACATTATGATGACGTCACAATTGAACACGTGCTAATCGGCACGAGGCTATCTTCCCTAGGGGGTGACAAGCTGATCTTTCCCGGCTAAAACGGGAGAACATTAACTCCATACATGGAATGGGTCACCAACTGACACAAGGATAAATAAATTTGTCACCCTTCTAAATGTGTAACACTCTTTCTGATTGGATATCTTGCCGGGGTCTATATTTCTCTAAACCCCGCTCTGCCAGGGTCTATAAAAGCAGGTGCGAGGGGAGATAACTCAAACTGGAATCTCTCTTCATAGCAACAAAGATGGCGTCCGACACACACAAGCGTTCGATGTGTGCCAATCATTCACAAGATAAAATAGCCTACTTAATTGACAGCAAATTTAACGAAACAGGCAATGATGGGGGCAACTAGGGTGCTAATTACAAAGATGGTTGTGTATTGTCCGAAATATTGCCGAAATATTGCCGAAAAGATGTCTGGTAGAGGCTGTTTTGGTAGCAGTCAAGTAAGGTGACACAAATCGGATCACCAAACCATCATCACTAGGACCCCAATCGGATCAAGGCTTGAATTTTGCAGTATCTTATGCTTCAAATGAATAAAAAAAAATCAGCATATTAACATTTTATGATGACCTTTAGAATTTATATGACAAAAAATAAATTTTATCGTTTGAATTTATTCCTATAACCCAAAACAGAATGCATAGTTGTCGCACGCGCCATTATTTAAAAACGTAATAAAAACATTAACATTTGGTTTTGAATTACGGTTTCTTGCGCTATTCGAATTTAAAAACTAATTACCTGTATCTATTCTAAGGCTACATCATTGTTATAACTGTTTTGTTGACACGTTTATTGATTTATAAGTATTTTTTGCAAAGTAATCCCATTTAGGTATTGTCACCTTACAACTCAAACTCACAAAGTGACATAACTTTGCACAAAAACAAATTAGACTATCTAAAACACTGTCAAGGTGACAAATTCGTTATCTCTGAGTTATAAGGAGGGGTCTACTGGCTCATAGACCCTTTGGTTTTATAGACCTCTCGCCTTCGGCTCGGGGGCTATAAAAACCAGACGGGGGCTATGAGCCCGTAGACCCCTCTTAACTCAGAGATAACTAATAATATACGTTGGTTAGGTCACAAAATAATCCAAGGATTAACCATGACGCGCTATTTAATCCTGATGTGGCTTTATTGAATCTTATCGAATCTGGAATCAATAAATATCATATAATATGCTGAATTAATGATATGCATGTCATCCGTTTGGCAAATGTTAAAATTAAGAAAAAATGCACTCAAACACACAAATTCTTACCTTTACAACTCCCCAAGATAAGACAAGCCCATATGTAGTGTGGTAGATATGTACGTGATCTAGCAGCCATCTAGCCGTACGGATAGGCTGGTTACCTCTGTAAAAATACAAAGAGTACATCCCTCTGGTGTTTTTGTCGTTCTCATTATTTAGCTAAAATTATTTTATGGACAGATAAGTCTTTGCTATACTTGAAGAAGACAGGAAGACGATCATACGTGGGCATTTATATGAAAACGCTTCTTCAGAAACATATCAGTAAGGTTTTTCAGGGATAAGAAAACGGTAAATCTCAAGTTTAATTTGTACCTCACTAGCCGAAGACCACTTAATCCTGTATGAAACAATACTAAACAACCGAAGTGAGGAAGCACTAGTAACAAAGTTGACCCGTTACTGTACCATAGGATCATATCGTCCTGCTAGGGCTCGTAAATGGTACTAAACGGTCAATGGTAATCTTAGTTACAAATTAAACTTGAGATTTACCGTTTTCTTATCCCTGAAAAACCTTACTGATATGCTTCTGAAGAAGCGTTTTCATATAAATGCCCACGTATGATCGTCTTCCTGTCTTCTTCAAGTATAGCAAAGACTTATCTGTCCATAAAATAAGTATTTCAAACCTATATAGAAGTACAGCGCATGGGTGTCTATGGAGCCCTCTATTACAAATCTACACCTTTTGGCTACAACAGATACTGTATTAAGGATATTAACTCTCGGCAATGTCCGGGTCACACATGGGTTGGTTTTATTCATGAGGAAACAGGGTGTCTACCAGTACGATACATTACATTGGAGTTTTAAAAATAAATTCAGCTACAGGATGTTTGTTAATCTTGATAACGCTTAAATGCTATAAATTTGTAGTGCTGCTCATTGTACAACTGATTATAAACTCAAGCCATGGTACTGTATAATAAAAAAAGGTTTTGTAAAACATCAGTCGTGCTTTAAATTTTGAAGTCAATTAGAAATTAAAGTACACATTCTGAGTCAAAGGAATAATTTTCTATACGGCGAAGTGATCAAGTTGTAAATTTTCTTCAGATTTATGCCTGTTACATTTATATAACCAGTTGACATTTTTAACATTTTTATTGATGAATTCTGCCGGTAATGTGTTCTGAATACTTCAAAGTTCCTGTCGACCCGTCGGCCGTGTATCTGGTTACCTCTCTAACGGTATGATAAAGGGACAAAACACTGTAATGTTATTCAGTGGTGGTTTCGATCGAATTCTAAATACGGACGTATTCAAACCATTAAACAGACAGTATTGCAGCTCGTATCGCTACGTCTTTAAGAATCTTTTATATATTTCTTGTATTAAGTTATTATCTCAATTATCACATTTCAGCAAACCTCTCTTTTTAAATGCTGGGTCTCTGTGAGTTATACATAAAGACATTACGTATATCTTACTCAAACTCGCTGTGTTTGAACATGTATACAGATATGTCTTTTTACACTATGAGAATAGAATTGGCTAAACACGTTAACCAGACATAACCAGTTTTGGGGATCTTTTCATTGATGTTACATCATATCTGAAAAACACCACGTATGTTTCTATAGGAAGTACACAATTCCTGTCTCCGAACGGGGGAAACAATTATTATTGGAGATAGCGGTGAAAATCACGTCCAACTTATCACCAACTAGTTGGTGACCGAAAATATCTTTTTACTCTTAGCTGATTTATCCTCTGAGTCCAAAGTGAGGAAACCAATTCTGGTTGTGATGATATATATTTGCACATTTTTTAATCAATCAACAAATGAGTATATAAATTATAACCATTTCATTGATAAGCTATTTATATTGTCTACAAATAGTACTTTATAGGTTAGCTCGAGTTGCTTTGTCTACAGGACAGGAAGGAAGATGTCAGAGGACCTCTCTACTTCAATCATGTCAGCCGGTAAATTCGAATAAAGTTTTGTGTGGGTTATCGATGCTATCCTTGATCATACTACAATACCGACATAGCTGTGAAAAGATCATACTAAACCACTGATATAGCTGTGAAAAGAGCATACTAAACTAATGATATAGCAGTGTAAAGATCATACTACACTACTGATATAGCTGTGTAAAAATCATACTACACTACTGATATAGGTGTGTAAAGATCATACTACACTACTGATATAGCAGTGTAAAGATCATACTAAACTACTGATATAGCTGTGAAAAAAACATACTACCCTACTGATATAGCAGTGTAAAGATCATACTAAACTACAGATATAGCAGTGTAAAGATCATACTACACTACTGATATACCTGTGAAAAGATCATACTACACTACTGATATAGCTGTGTAAAGATTATACCACACTACGTACTGAGCTGTGTAAAGATCATACTACACAACTGATATAGCTGTGTAAAGATCATGCTAAACTACTGATATAGCTGTGTAAAGATCATACTAAACTAATGATATAGCAGTGTAAAGATCATACTACAGTACTGATATAGCTGTGTAAAGATCATACTAAACTAATGATATCGCAGTGTAAAGATCATACTACACTACTGATATACCTGTGAAAAGATCATACTACACTAATGATATAGCTATAAAAAGAAGCATACTACAATACTGATATAGCTATCAAAAGAAGCATACCACACTACTGATATAGCTGTGAAAAGATCATACTGCACCACTGTTATAGCTGTGAAAAGGTCATACTACACTACTGATATAGCTGTGAAAAGATCATGCTTAACTATTGATATAGATGTGAAAAGATCATACCACACTACTGATATAGCTGTGTAAAGATTATACTAAACTACTGATATAGCTGTGTCAAGATCATACTACAATACTGATATAGCTGTGGAAAGAGGGTACTACACTACTGATATAGCTGTAAAAAGATCATACTACACTACTGATATAGCTATAAAAAGAAGCATACCACACTACTGATATCTGTGAAAAGATCATACTACACTACTTATATATCTGTGTAAATATCATACCACACAACTGATATAGCAGTGTAAAGATCATACTAAACTACTGATATAGCAGTGTAAAAATCATACTACACTACTGATATAGCTGTGAAAAGGTCATACTACACTACTGATATAGCTGTGAAAAGATCATGCTTAACTATTGATATAGATGTGAAAAGATCATACTACATTACTGATATAGCTGTGTAAAGATCATACTTCACAACTGATATAGCTGTGTAAAGATCATGCTACACTACTGATATAGCTGTGTAAAGATCATACTTCACAACTGATATAGCTGTGTAAAGATCATGCTACACTACTGATATAGCTGTGTAAAGATCATACTACGCAACTGATATAGCTGTGTAAAGATCATGCTAAACTACTGATATAGCTGTGAAAAGATCATACTACACCACTGTTATAGCTGTGAAAAGGTCATACTACACTACTGATATAGCTGTGAAAAGGTCAAATCACACTACTGATATAACTGTGAAAAGGTCATGCTAAACTACTGATATAGCTGTGAAAAGATCATACTGCACCACTGTTATAGCTGTGAAAAGGTCATACTACACTACTGATATAGCTGTGAAAAGATCCTACTGATATAGCTGTGTTAAGATCATACTACAATACTGATATAGCTGTGGAAAGATCATACTACACTACTGATATAGCTGTGTAAAGATCATACTACACAACTGATATAGCTGTGTAAAGATCATGCTAAACTACTGATATAGCTGTGAAAAGGTGATACGACACTGCTTATATAGCTGTGTAAATATCATACTAAACTACTGATATGACTGTGAAAAGATGCATACAACACAACTGATATAGAAGTGTAAAGATCATACTAAACTACTGATATAGCAGCGTAAAGATCATACTACACTACTGATATAGCTATAAAAAGAAGCATACCACACTACTGATATCTGTGAAAAGATCATACTACACTACTTATATATCTGTGTAAATATCATACTAAACTACTGATATGACTGTGAAAAGATGCATACAACACAACTGATATAGAAGTGTAAAGATCATACTAAACTACTGATATAGCAGTGTAAAGATCAAACTAAACTACTGATATAACTATGAAAAGATCATACTACATTACTGATATAGCTGTGAAAAGATCATACTACTAGCTGTGTAAAGATCATACTAAACTAATGATATCGCAGTGTAAAGATCATACTACACTACTGATATACCTGTGAAAAGATCATACTACACTACTGATATACCTGTGAAAAGATCATACTACACTAATGATATAGCTATAATAAGAAGCATACTACACTACTGATATAGCTATAAAAAGAAGCATACCACACTACTGATATAGCTGTAAAAAGGTCCAATCACACTACTGATATAACTGTGAAAAGGTCATGCTAAACTACTGATATAGCTGTGAAAAGGTGATACGACACTGCTTATATAGCTGTGTAAATATCATACTAAACTACTGATATGACTGTGAAAAGATGCATACAACACAACTGATATAGAAGTGTAAAGATCATACTAAACTACTGATATAGCAGCGTAAAGATCATACTACACTACTGATATAGCTGTAAAAAGATCATACTACACTACTGATATAGCTATAAAAAGAAGCATACCACACTACTGATATAGCTGTAAAAAGGTCAAATAACACTACTGATATAACTGTGAAAAGATCATACCGCACTACTGATATAGCTGTGTAAAGATTATACTAAACTACTGATATAGCTGTGTCAAGATCATACTACACTACTGATATAGCAGTGTAAAGATCATTCTAAACTACTGATATAGCAGCGTAAAGATCATACTACACTACTGATATAGCTATAAAAAGAAGCATACCACACTACTGATATAGCTGTGAAAAGATCATACTACACCACTGTTATAGCTGTGAAAAGGTCATACTACACTACTGATATAGCTGTGAAAAGGTCATACTACACTACTGATATAGCTGTGAAAAGATCCTACTGATATAGCTGTGTTAAGATCATACTACAATACTGATATAGCTGTGGAAAGAGGGTACTACACTACTGATATAGCTGTAAAAAGATCATACTACACTACTGATATAGCTATAAAAAGAAGCATACCACACTACTGATATAGCTGTGAAAAGATCATACTGCACCACTGTTATAGCTGTGAAAAGGTCATACTACACTACTGATATAGCTGTGAAAAGGTCATACTACACTACTGATATAGCTGTGAAAAGATCATACTTCACTACTGATATAGCTGTGAAAAGATCATACTGCACCACTGTTATAGCTGTGAAAAGGTCATACTACACTACTGATATAGCTGTGAAAAGATCATGCTTAACTATTGATATAGATGTGAAAAGATCATACTACACTACTGATATAGATGTGAAAAGATCATACTACCCTACTGATATAGCTGTGAAAAGATCATACTGCACCACTGTTATAGCTGTGAAAAGGTCATACTACACTACTGATATAGCTGTGAAAAGGTCAAATCACACTACTGATATAACTGTGAAAAGATCATGTTAAACTACTGATATAGCTATAAAAAGAAGCATACCACACTACTGATATAGCTGTGAAAAGATCATACTACACTACTTATATATCTGTGTAAATATCATACCACACAACTGATATAGCAGTGTAAATATCATACTA